ATCTAAACAAAAAAAATGCTCAATGTCTATTTTTATCCATTCAATTTTCATCTGTCGCTTACTATTTTCTCACAACTAACTACACATCTTTTTATTTATGTATCTAAAATCGGGTGCAGTCATTTTTTTTAACATATTAGTCTTTCTAGGTTTTAGAATTTTTCAAATTAGTCCTTCGATCTCTATCTTTAAGAAAAGAGTTTAAAATATATAATATTGTGACATTATAATTTTTAGGGAAAAGAGTCAAATAGGTCCTCGAACTAACTTAAAAGGGTCAAATCACCCCTTTTATAGGAGGCTCTGTCCGGCCATCGCCATTTGGGGCGGTTCCCGGTGGATTTTTTTGATGAATTTTTTTACCATCTTCTTCATTAAGTCTAGTTTGCCCATACAAAATTTTAGATAAAAATTCAATCGGGAAGACAGTCAAATGATTTTCTGAAATGTACTGCGTTGTTTAACTATTGTGAAGGTGATGGTGGCGACAAATATGCTACCTATTGTGATTGGTAGCAATTAATAATTCTACAATGCGTGCACGTTACCTTTTAAAAAATTCGATACCTGAATTCATACTAAGAAAACATCAAAGATTTATGTTACAATATATTTTCGGGCATTCCATGTTTGGGTTCATAATATTTGTTTCAACTTTTTCGATACTCCCCCTGTCTCATCAAATTATTCCCGAATTGACTTGGGTTGAAGTTTAAGAATGTGAGAATAAAGTGAAAATATATGATTGTGGTTGAGTAGGAAAAAATAAATTAATGTTAGTCACACATAGCTTTCCAAAAAGGGAAATGTGAAGATTTTTTTGGATGATCCAAAAAGGTAAGTGGGATAAATTTAAAGGGACGGAGAGAGTCTTTGATATGAAGGATGCATATATCTATGTATTAAAAAATGACAATATATTTTATATTTCTAATTAAGATAATTGACTTCATCCAAAAAAAAATTAAGATAATTGAGTATGAGTAATGTCTATATAATTGATATGTTACCGACAAAGTTATACATATAAATTTGCTTTCTCAATTGTAGACTTATATATAGTATGTTCATATGATAATTTATGAATATTTGAGTTGTCAAGTATAGTGATATCAATAAAGTTGTATGGTACAACTTAAATATTATAAAATGATTACTATATCTATAGGCTAGGCAGTCTCTCCTAGTTCAAGAATCTCATTGAGAAGTTGGTGACTTGGGGGTATTAAACATATCTTACCTTAAAGAATTGTTTTATGGGCCCCTAGAATTATTAAAGGTAAACCATGTAAGAAATATTTACCCTTTTTAATTTTTTTTTTACTAAAAGTGCTCCTCACCACATTGTAGCGAGTTTTGTTTCCAAAATAATGTTATATGAAAGATTATTACAAAATTAAGACCGATTTAAAATCATTTCCCAAAATAATACTAACTCCGAAGCCCCCAATTGAGTTGGCTAAATTCTCCAAATATATCAAAATTCATGATATTTTATTATCTTTGATATGACACCAATATTGTATAAGTACAAATATAAATAATTTTGAACATGCTTCAATTAGGGGGCATTTTATTTATTGGTTGAAAGTGCCAATAAGGGACATTAAGTTGTAAAATATTTATTTAAAACACCTCAAATCGAATCAACAAAATGCTCAGTTAACGCCTTTCTCTCTAAAAAAATCAGAAAACACAAAGGATGCTAGCAGTTCAGGGAAAAGGTGAAAACACATAGGACGCTAAAAATTACTACGTATCTTTTTTAAAATTCATATAACTTACTCCCTCCATCCCGAAAAGGTTTTCCAAATTTCCTTTTTTGGATGTCCCAAAAAGATTTGTCATTTCCATTTAAAGTAAGAAATATGTGGCTAAAATTAATTTTCTCTCAGCTCCTCTGCACAAATTTCAACCACACAGTTTTTACTTTATTAATCCACATGAAAGTCAAAGTTGGCGAACCTTTTCGGGACAGAGGGAGTATTTTATTTATAAAAGAATTTTTACAAAAAAATGTATCAAAATTCATAAATTATTATTATCATTTGTATGACCAATATTGCATATATATAAAAATAAAAATAAATATGAATATGCGGTTGATGGAGGTATATTTTGAAGATATTGTAGTGGAAGATGGGTGACTCGCGATGGAAGATAGAGAGGCAATGGTGGAGCGGCGATGGTGAGGCGGCGGCGGTGGAGCTGCGAGGGTGAGGCGGGGGTGATGGAGCGGCGATGGTGAGGCGGCGATGGCAGAGCGGCGATGGTGGAGCGGCGATGGCAGAGCGGCGATGGCAGATCGGAGATGGTGGAGTGGCGATGGTGTAGTGGCGGCGGTTGAGACTTGAGAGCCGGCATCCAGGAGTGTCTTTAGCAATTCAACCAAGTAGGGTTATGTTTTTGGTAAATACTCCGCATAAACATCTTTCCATAAGGGTTCAAAATGAAGGGACATAGAATCATATTCTTTAAATTCATAAAAAAGACCCCGAATGTAATCCATTTTCAAGGAAATTATAAATATAATCCCGTTTTTACCTTTAATGTCGGTGTTTCGTACACCCGTTATAGAATAAGATTTATAATATCAATTTGTACCCGTCAAAGTGGCATGAATCTTTAATTATTTATGAAATAGACCCCGCTCCTGCTTACTATTACGGCTCCTAGCAACCCCATATGAAATGTCAGTTATAGAATATGTATTTTGCACTAGCTGATCTATTGTTATTCAATAGATATACATTTATATGTTTGCAAGTATATTTTCGAAGTGTATGTTTAAATTGAGCCTTTTCATATTGCAATTTTAGGTTTGTATGTTTATATTTTCGAAGTGTATGTTTAAAACATACGTTTATATGTTTGCAGGTCTTTTAATTTTTGAGTTTTTAGGTTTGTATAATCAAATTGCAATTTTTAAATTGAGCCTTTTCAAATTCAAAAAATAAAAATAAAAATTAAAAATATGGCCGGTGTGTATATATATGCCATATATATGGCCGGTTGATGTGTAGTCTTCAACTCATTAATCCCAATCTTTGAATCATATCCTCTGCACATCTTCTGCTACCTCAAAGCTACAATCCATCATGATTCTTTGTCCATTAATTGTTTATAGCAATTTTTTTTTTTAAAATAATTATTGATAGCAAGTTCACCAAGTATCCATCATGATTCTTTGTCCATTAATTATTGATAGCAAGTTCACCAAGTTGCAATGACCCTTTAACCAATGATATTATTTTATATCAAGAAATGCAACAGAGCATTTTCTCTCTAAAAACAACAGCCCGTTTCTTAAATTTTGGTGTGTTGGTTACTTCACTTTATATTTGTTGGGCTGAAATGAACTTCAGAAATATTAAATTTTGTTTTTAAAGTGGCTAGTAGCTATAGTTAGGCTTCTACAATAGCTTTATATTTCATCTACGTGATAGTTTTTCATTTGTTTTATGTTTTATTAAGGATGACCGGTAGAAGAATTGAAGTGCAAGATTTATATAAAGTGACTCGAATGCATCATTTAGCTATAGCTAAAGTTATATGCATTGTTATGTATTGGGTCAGATTGCGTCGAAGAAAAAAAGTGAACCGCGTTCTCACATCGGAGGGAGAAAGAGTAAGGAATTTGCTTTTCGACAGGATGGTAACTCATTATTTAGGCCGCAGTATCATAAGATTGAGCGCAGAAGCATTCGTAGGTCTTTGTGATATTTTAGTTAGATATGGCGGCCTTCGACCTTCAATATATGTTAGCGTTGAAGAACAGGTTGCAAAAACCCTTTATGTGCTAGCACATAATGTGAAAAATCGTGCAATAGCTTTTTTCTTCTATCGTTCTGGAGAATCGAATAGCCGTCACTTTCACAATGTCTTGAGAGTTGTATTGGAAGTGGAAAATAGATTTCTTATACAACCAAACGGGTCTGAAGTTCCTCCAGAAATTCGTGACAACTCTCGATATTATCCATTTTTCAAGGTGAAAATTACTATTATCTTTAGATTTTAATAGTAGCACATATAAAATTAAAATACTGAATTAAATGTAAAATGTCAGGATTGTGTTGGGGCTATTGATGGACACATTGCAGTAAAAGTTTCACCTACTGAGGTGCCGAAATATCGTGGTAGAAAAGATAAACCCACCCTAAATGTTTTGGCTGCTTGTTCATTTTATTTGAAATTCACATACGTATTAGCTGGATGGGAAGGCACCACATCTGACTCTAGAATTATCAAAGAAGCATTATCAAGAGAATATCCTCTCAAAGTCCCAGAAGGTATTTATAATGCATTAATTTTAAGTTTATTCTTAATAAATCTTAACATAAGAATTTATATGATCAGTTCTATTATTTTAGGAAAATATTATCTCGTTGATGCCGTGAGCAACGTTATCACTTGAAGGAGTACTCTCGTCGCAACGCGCCACAAAATGCAGGTGAACTATTTAATCATCGACATTCAGCATTGATGAATGCAATTGAACGAACATTTGGTGTGCTAAAAAAAGTTTTTCCTATCATTGCAAATGAAAAAACCCATTATGGGGTCGAAACTCAAAAGGCGATTATTTTGGCATGCTTTATTTTGCACAACTACAAGATGGAAGTAGATCCAGATCCCGATTTGCTTGCAGAAGTTGATAGGGACTAGCAAATGAAAATCCTCCACAACAACACCATTGTAGTATCGAGGATGAAGACTCTGCTATGGGAGAAATGATTAGGGATTCTATAGTTGCATCTATGTGGGTTGATTATAATATGTGAAATTAGCAGTTGTTAAAACGTGTTAAACTATGTTTTCCTTTCTGATTTTTAGAGATTAAATTCCGTCAAATGACTACTAATGGAGTTAATATTATCAATTTGCGTGATGTGTTTTTGCAAAATATGTTTGCTTGTTTAATGTTCACTTACTGATAAGTAATGCATTATGATCGATGTTGTGTTTGTGTGTTTCTCAAGAATGGCTCCAAGGTGGAAAAACGTGGATGGTGCAAGTAAGACTTCTAGTTCATTGAATTGGTCTAAGCCTATGGATGATGCTCTTATTGATGCTGATCTGAATCAAGATACTCTAGGAAAAAGAGTAGGTGGAACATTCACTACGCATGCATATGACAATATCATTAAGGAATTGAAGGAACTATTTCCTCATAAACCAATTGATAAGGATAAGATTCAAAACCGGATGAAAAATATGAAACGAATTTGGTATCCATGCTATGACTTGTTTAAAAATGGTGCTAGTGGCTTTGGTTGGGATCCCGCTAGAGAAATGTTCACTGCTGAACCTGAAGTTTGGCAACGGTTAATTGAGGTATATTTACAAATAATATTTTTTTTTTTAGTTTTTGGTATGAATGTGTTGGTATGTGATATTGTGTACATTTTACACAGGTCAAGCCAGAAGCCGCGCCAAGTGGAAAAATAAGCAAATGCGTAACTTTAACAAGTTATGTCAACTATTTGGGAAAGATAGAGCTGATGGCCAGCATGCGAAAACTGCGGCAGAAATGAGGAAGATGAGATCCACTGCCAATGAGGAGAGTGACATTTATACATCATTGGATAATATTGAAGGCGTTGAGTCAATCTTTGGAGATAATGAGAATTTGGAAAATATCGATGCATCCCAACAAACAAGTCAGAGAAGTACACCTCAAAGAATCTTAAATCAAAATCTTGAGGATGTCGTACGATCTCACTCAATCTCTCATGGGGAAGCATCTTCAAAGAAAATGGGAAAAAAGAAGGTTAAAGTTGATGAAGAAGTTGTGCTTCTGAAATAAGGACTTGATAATGTTGCTCAGGCTATCTCATCTTCAACATCAGAAATTGTTAAAGCTACCACGCTTCCAATTCCAGAAAATGAAGTTTGGAATTTATTGGTTGAGTTAAATGTTGCTGTTGAAGCTCGTAACACAAGCTACTTGTTTCTTGTTCAGAAGTCTAATATGTTGAGAGCTCTACTTGGATCTCCACCTGAAAATCGGAGAAGTCTTCTTCATGACATGATGTCATGAGCTAGTGCATTAATCTTATCTAATTATAACTTTTTAGTTTTATGTTGCCCTTTTGCTGTATTGGAAGGATTGTATTCCTAATTTTGATGAACCGAAACTTATTTTGCTTATCTCTATTTTAAAATGATGACACACTAGCTGGAAGGATTGTATTCCTAACTTTGATCAATTAAAACTTATTTTGTTTCACTTCATTTTTTTCAAGTGTAGTACGTGTTGCTGTACAATATATAGAATTAGGTGACTGAAAACAACTTTTGTAATTGTTTTTTTGAAATCAACTTTTGCAATTTATTGACTACGGTATATTTTTGTTGCAGATTTTGTAGAATAAGTACTCCGTATTAGTTATCCGTTTTGTGAAGTTTTAATTAGTACGGAGTATTGCATATAATAGTATTTTTACCTTTTTAAATATTATTCATACTTATACTTTTTGTCCTTGTATGAATTATTATGAAGTGTATAACATGCATGTTTCACGAATGAACATATTATGTATATGGCGGGAACAGTTATTTCCCCGTACGATTTCGTTTTAATATATATTAAGATTTAAAAAGAATTAGGTTATTTTTGTAAATTTATGTGAAAACACTTCTTTTACTAACACTCCATTTTTACTCTTCCAAACAGAGTTAATTTATACTTAACACTTACACTTACCTTCCCTTCCGGGCCACTGTTAACACTTACTAACACTTCCATTACTAACACCCTCTAACACTCCATCCAAACACAACGTTAAGAACATCATTACAATTAAGACTTGCTACCGGTTTCCCACCAAATAAATACATAGAAGCTATTTTTTTATTATTAATTTTAACTTTAAGAAGGAGATGGTGAATTTGTATGCCAATTACGTTTGTCGTGATCAAAGTTTTGGTCTACCATTACAAAATCAGTAGATTGACTTTATTAGATACAAAATTAACCCACTTAATATATTTTTGGCATATTCAATAGAAGCTAATATTTTTATTAACTTTAAGTTTAAGAAGGAGATGGTGAATTTCAATGCCAATTACGTTTGCCGTGACGAAAGCTTTGGCCTACCATTACAAAGTCATTAGATTTGACTTTATTAAATACTTTGTACAAAATTAACCCACTTAATAAATCTTTTGGCATAGTCAATAGAAGCTAATTTCCTTAATTAACTTTAACTTTAAGAGAGAGATGATGAATTTCTATGCACATTACATTTGCCATGATGAAATTAAGCTTTGGTCTACCATTACAAAATCAGTTGATTTTAATAGTTTGATGACAATGTTGGATCGACAAACTCCAAAACATAACCCCAGGTCATAACAAAATGTTAATACTAATAAATATCAGTTTTTTTAATACGTATATATCACTAATATGACTTTATAAATATGTGGCCCTACCAAAATGAGAGGCATGAAGCATTGGAGGCTAAGTGACCTCATAGCTTGCTCTACAATCAATTTTGACCAATGATACTTTTTAATACAAAATTATTTTGAATATGAAAATTATATCAAAATGTTTGTTAGTCAAAATATTTTCATAAAAGTATAAGGTTTATAATTTATATACAAAAATAATAATTAAAATCATTATCCAAAGTTTATAATCATTGACTAAGAAAAGTCAATATTACAAAACATTTAAGGACTCGGTTTTATTACTAAAGTACTCGGTAATGTTCTTTCAAGTATTCTCATATGTAGTGTATGAGAATACTATTTAATAGACCCTTCAATGGCTCGTGTGGTCAGGCCTTAGCTTCTTAGATCATAATGAATGATACGGAGTACTTCTATTTAATAAAATACATACTAGTAGTTGATAACTTGATAGTTGATAACTTTATAATAAAGTGCTTAGTACGGAGTATATGTTTAGGGGGAGATATACAGTCCAAAATTACAATATAGTGAGTTTATTTTTATTAAGTTTAAACAACACCAAAGAATATTGTTTCAAAAATGTAACAATGTGTTAGTTCAAAATTTTGCAACATGACTAAAATTAATATTTATGAATTTGAAGTGCTTCTTTGCAAGGAAAAATAGTAATTTTGAAATTTAATATTAAAGTGTTAATATTTTAACATAAAATAGTTCTATCTTTTTATTAAGTTTAATAACAAAAATGATTTTTTTATATAGGTTATTCTATTTTGTAAGAAAAATATGTTTTTCATTTTAAATATTACCATATTCTGAACTCAATACTTTTTTTTGCGTTTTTTAATTTTTTTATTTATTTAAAATCACTAAGCGCTAATTTGCTCCGTTATAGAAACAATAGAGGTATTTTTCCATATTTTAAAACTTGAGGAGTATATCTGTGCTTGCATATATACTTTGAAGATAGATTTGCACATTTCCCTTGTTATGAATACTATCACCTACATTAGGCATAAAAATTTTGAAATGTTTTTATAGGGAAGGGATGAAGGTTTTGTTTTGGAATAAACAGAAAGGGAGGGATATAACCCAATTTATAATGCTTAAAAAAATACTCTGTAAACAAAAGAGAGAATAGGACACCTAAATTTCACTTCAAAATATCAAACTCAAGAAAGTACATGTGGGTCTTCTGGACATGTCTGCGTACTCGGCGGATGGCGTCGAGAAATGGCATAGTTGAGTTGTCAGCACTCAGCATAAAGTCTTATCGAAAGTTGAGTTAGCCATTCCTTGTTTTATTCAATAATGCTCTCAACACATTACACAACAATTGTACTGTCTAGTACGTACAACATAGTGTTCCTCCCATTTGGCCATTTTAAGTCTTTTACGGTTCCTTTTACATTTCCTTACCTTCTTAAAATTTTTACCATTTGTATAGAGGAATTACCCTCTATGTGCCTCCGTCCCATATTAATCTTCCTGGTAGGTTGAGGAATGAAGACTAAAAAAGTGAAAATTGTGTGATGGAAACTTTGATTGGATGTGAGATAAACATACCAAACTTACATATGTAATTTAAATATTCCAAACTTTATGTAAAAAGTAATTTTCGCACTATTGTCATGTACGTAGTATTATTTTTTCAAAGATGAAAATTTATTGGGTTAATTGCAGAATTTAAAATAGCTAATTAAAAATATTGCAATTATATAGATTGTGGGTAACATTATTTATTTCACAATGGAAGTTTAGAATGTAATTTGTGTCTTCGTGAATTCTAAAGTATTTTAAATTGTGCAAATAAAACCATAAATTTACATTTTTGAAATTAATAATATTTGACTTTGGTGCCAAAACAACTTTTTATATAAAGTTTGAATTGTTTAAATTACATATGCAAGTTTGGGGTATTCATCTCACACCCCATTAAAGTTTGGGATATTTCAATTATTTTTCCCAAGAAAAAATTACATGAACTTTGCCATATAAGGAAAAAGAAGATTATTTTGAGATGAATATAGGAATATAGTTATGGGACAAACAAAGTATGCTTGTTTGGCTGACATAATGATCACACAATATCACCATCTCTCATACTTTCTTAGATCCAAATTATGTCTATGGAAATTTGATTTGAACAATATATGTAAACCATTCCCACACACGTACAACTAATATTATTATGGATACTCATGTGCACACATATACCGAGTATATATTAAAAGTCCGTTTGAAAATACTAAAATTGATTGGTAGACTGTATATGAAAAACGATGTGGTTGTATTTAATATGTAGTATGAAAAATGATGTTATTTACTCTCTTCGTTCCATTTTACATGTCTTATTTTCATTTTTGTGTTATCCCAAAATAGTTGTCATAGTTCCTTTTTAGAAAAAATATATTATACTAAAAAATTAATCACAATTTTTATCTTTTCAATTACTTTATTAATTATTGTGTCAATCTTAATGTACGTGATACATAAAATGGGAATATTTTGCCCCAAATTGCAAGTGGGGAAAACGGTTGGGAAGATATGGTATACGAAGTACATGTCACTCATACATCAGATCCACAATTTCAATTCGGTGTCATCACATGTTTCTCACGGCCAATAAAAGTCACGTAATTCCTCATCTCTTTCTCAATATGAAAATAATGTATGCACTTCGTTAATCCTGTTTTTTCTTAGATTCGACCAACTCAACATTATCTACTATTCACTTTATTTGCACATGATTAGTAAATTGTGTACTTAATTATTAAAAATTATTTCATACGGAGTAAATTATTTGTAACTCTTTTTCATAAATCTCAGAAACACATCATGATTGAGTGAATGACTTCAGTACCGTTCCCTGTCATGATCTTCCCCATCTAGTGATGGGCCCGGGCCGGGTCGGGCTCGGTCGGGCTTTAGAAGTTGGGAGATAGGCCCGGAACTGGCCCGGGTAACCCCCGGGTCCGGGTCGGGCCGGGCCTCCGGTGAGCTGCCTACTTGGACGTCCAACTGGGCATTTTTTTTTACTTTTTTCATATTTTTTTCTTTTCATTTTCTTTTTGTATTTCTCCTCCATCTACAACCCATATCCTTCTCCTTGCGCAGATTACAGATCCATGGAGCATCCAGGTGGTGGTGGTGGCCATGGAGGCTGGGGCGGTTGAAGGTCGTTCAAATGGAAGAGGGGAAGGTAGAGACCACGGAGGTGGAAGCTGGAGGTGGTGGCAAGGGCGGCGGAGTTGGTGGTTATAAAATCCGGCGCGGCTGGAGGTCGTTGCAATGGAGGCAAAGGGATGGAGGTTGTGGACGGAGGCGGTGTGTATAGCGGAGGGGCGGTTGAGGTGAAGGTGGAGGCCGGACTTCGGATGTGGTGGGCGGCGGGACGGTGGCTATGGAGGCTGGGCCTCGGCGGAGGTAATGGGTAGAGATGCCGGGGCGGTGAAGTTTGTTCCAGTGGGAGTGGCGGAGCAGCAACGATGGAAGTAAGAGCCGGATTTGTTGTGGAGACAAGAAAGAAAAGAAGGAATCGATCGTGGGGGAGCTGGGAACTGGAAAAGGAGAAGTGGAGCAGACTGCGAACAGGAAGAAAGAAGAAAGAGAAAAAAAGAGAAAGAGGAAAGAGAAAAAAAGAGAAAGAGGAAAGAGAAAAGAAAATAAAAAAAATGGAAAACACTATAAAATTGTCAGCTGCAACATCCACGTAGGTGGTTAATCGGGTAACCGGTTGGCTACCTACTAAATAGCTGATTCGGTCGTTTATTGATAGTTCATGGACTTGATTGACTCGAAAAAAAGTACATGGACTCAATTGACTTTTTGTTAAAAGTACAATGACTTATTTGACAGTTTTTCCAATCTTTTTTTTAAGTTATAACATTAAATCTTAAAAACTGTATTATACGGAAATCTTGTTTATTAAAAATATAATCTTAAAAAAATCTTGTTAATTAACATCAGCGACCAAATTATATACTCCATATCAATTGACCGTGAAAGTCAAACATTACAAAAAAAACACCGGATCAACAGAGATTTGCCAAAATTTATAAAGGATTTGGCAGTGATGTGCCAAATCCGTGTCAAAAATATTTTGGCACGGACTATTTGACACGAAATCATTGGTTAACCTGTGCCAAATTCGCGTGAATCCTGTAATTTATTTGTAGTGAAAATTAAATGATACTCCGTAAAATATAAGAGACAAATTGAGTATTATGATAGTACGTATTATCACTTAATACAATATTTATGTACACGTGAAAATCATGAGGAAATGAGAAACGAAAAATGCAGTCTTTTACTAGAAAAATAAATATTTAGAAAATTTCTTAAGAGTTTTTGAAACAAAAACAACTTTTATGTACGCAGTACTGTAGTAGTACATACTGTATATTAGAAACGGAAGTGAGGAAACATCTTGGAAGATATGGAATAGGTCTCAATTCCGCTTATATAAGTTTCAAACTCTTTCCTAATTAGCACCAAGTATATCAGACTCTCAAATGCCATAGTAATTGTGAGCAAAGAAATATCCAAGAAATTAAAAGCCCAGAATGAGGACAGCCATTGTTCTCCTTCTCTTCCTCTCTGTTGCAACATTTCTCACCAATTCATCATGGCTTGCTCTTCCTCCTCTTCTTCTCTTCATGGGGCTTGCTTTCTATTGGTTCAATACCATGTGGATTCAGCCACAGAGGCTGAGATGGAAGATTCAGAGGCAAGGAATCAAAGGGCCCAAGCCTTCTCTTCTGTATGGGAATATCCCAGAAATGCAGAGAATCCAAGCTGCTGCTGCTGCAACTTCCATGAAAGCTTCAAGCTATGGTGAATTTGTGGAGCACGATTACACTGCCAAGCTCTTCCCCTAATTTGAACAATGGCGAAAAGAATATGGTAAGATTTCTTCTGCACTATCAGTTACATACGCCCCGTTTGCCCGAAAAATGAATTTAAATTCCTTAACATTATTATTGAAATCGGTAAAAATAGAATTAAAAACAAATAAAGTTCCAAAATAAGATCAAATACGTTGTCTTTGACTTATTAATCAATCATACTCCGTACATAGTACTACGTAGCACAGAGTATATACTTTCTCCATTCTTTTTTAGTTGCAACGGTCAACATTTCACACTTGCCAACGCACATCTTTGACCGTAATTATATCTTAATCCCCATTAGTAAAAAATATTTAAAAATTAGATTTTGAAAATTTGTAATGAGATGAATTGAACAATATAATTTTAAAAAAATAATTTTCATAAAATAATAATATAAAATGTAGTCAAAGTAGAACATGTGAATAGTATAAAATTCAACATGTTGCGATTAAAAAGACACGGAGGATAGTATATACTCCCTCCGTCCCAATATAAAAGGCACATTTGCGTTTGGGGAGTTTTTAAGGGTGAACACTGTTGGAACACTGTTTGACACTGTTTAGACACTGTTTGGCACTGTTTGGACACTGTTTGGCACTGTTTTGTTTGCCAAAAAGGGAAATGTGCCTTTTATATTGGGACGGACCGAAAAGGAAAGTGTGCCTTTTATATTGAGACGGAGGGAGTATTAGTGAGCCCAGTGACCCGGTTTACGAGGTTTATCAACCAACTTTTTCACTAAACACATAACTTTTGATTTCGCATACTAAATCATGTAATAATAAGAAAAAATATTGTTGAAATTATTTTTCCGGATGTATTGACTAAAGTTATTGTAGATGATCATTTTAACTATTTTTTATATAATTTTTTCTTTATTTTTTTAATAAAAATATTTCAAATACTACGTATAATTTTTTCATAAACCAGCATACTCAGGCATCCAGCTACTTCTGTCAGAACTTCATGTGGAGTAAAATTCAGCAGAATCTGCCAATTTAGCCAATTTTAGTGTTATCAAACAGGCTCTACACCTGTCGATAACTTTGCCAAATTTGAATTAAGCTATAAATAAGAAAAATACTTCCTCCGTTCTTTTTTAGTTGTAACGGTCAACATTTCACACTTGCCATCGCACGTCGTTGACCGTAATTATATGTTAATCTCTATTAGTAAAAAAAATTAAAAATCTGATTTCAAAAATTTGTAATGAGATGAATTGAACCATATTTTCTTAAAAAAATATTTTAAAAAACGGAGGATAATATAAGTACTACGTATAAGTTTTGTAGTTGAGGTTTATCCGAATAACACAGAAAAGAACATAATCACAAATGACAGTAAAAAAAGAAAGTGTACAACTCAATAAAATGGAGGGAGTACTATATTATAAAAATTTAGTTGATGACGTATTCACGTACGAATAATAAGACTATAAGAATAAATATATACGCAGTACATTACAAGTTAATGAGTTGTATCAAATGATTACTTTTTCAGATAAAACATTACACATGATGATAAATTGTACTCCCTCCGTCCTTTTAACAATGGGACAAGAGAGAGTGACGGATCAGGATCCTTTGCCATAAGGTAGAGTGTCTTGCGGCATCCGACGGTAGGGAGGCGACGAGGACGACCTCGAGATCGGCGAAGGGGTGGAGCCCAACATCTTTGGCCATCCAATTCCCGATCGAACGGCCCGGAAGAGCTAGGCACCCTGCCTTGCTTTAAATCAAGGCAGAGGCTCCGGATCCGAGAGTGACACACAAATTAATAAAAAGTGATTTATGTGGTTGATATTGAATTGATAAAGTAAGAATAAAGTAAGAATGATTTAGAGTCACACAAACTTTATATAATTTGGCATGAGACAATGTTAATGGGACGAACCGAAAAAGTAAAATTGAATAATCATATCGGGATGGAGAAAGTACAAAATTGCAGTACAAATCGTGTCTAATAGTACAATACCCGTTATCAACAAAATTGTTTATTACTCCACTATCATCATTATTATGGGACCACTCTAGATATATGGACTCTTTTAGACTGAAAGTTGTCGGTCTGATCTGATCTAGTCTGGTAAACGTCTGGTCCTTGTGTATTTTATAACTACGGAAGTCATGTCTGGTGTGGTCTGGTCTAATCTGATCTGGTCTGGGACTGAAAATAGTCCAAAAGAAAACATCCTAAATACAATAATAGTTGTATTTATTGTTTGTTAAGCCATAAATAACTCTTACCCATCATCAACTTTCACAAATTTGAATTAAGCCATAAATAAGAAAAATATATTCCCTCCGTATTTAAAAGTTTGTTACACTTTCCTGCGGAGTATTTGGGATGCATTTAAAGGTTTGCTACACTTTTCTTTTTTGGTATGTTTTTCCTTTAAAAATACTCAATTATCCTTATTTTTTATACATTTTATCTCCTATTTCCTATTTTTCCACATTCTCTCCTAGTTATTCCACACTATTCATTACGTCTACTATTCCCTCCTTAAATCTTGTGTCAACACCTAATGTAGAGATCTTTTCAATATGGAGGGAGTAAGTTTTGTGATTGAGGTTTATCCAGATAAGAGAGTAAAGAGCAATCACAAATTTGTTGCTTTAAATGGAAGGTGACAAATTTTAAAGACAATCAAAAAAGAAAAGTTAACAAAACTCAATAAAAGGGAAAGAGTATACTCCGTATAATAGACTTATTATAAGCTGATGACGTATTCACATACGTATATAAGAATATAAGAATAAATATATACTCCTTCAATTCCGTCCCGCTAAGAATTTCTTACTTTGACCTACACACATATTTAGGAAATAAATTTGACTTTACTGTAGAGTATACTGTTTCGACACTATTTGGAACTGTTTGGCATTGTTTGACATGTTTTGATGTAGGATAACTTTCCATTTAGAGAAATGAGAAAATCATTTTGCATTGGGACGGCTAAAAAGGAAAACCGAAAGATCTTAGCGGGACGGAAAGAGTGGATGACAAGTTATATAGAATGGTTACTTTTTGAATTAAAACTTTACACATGATAATGACATGTGAAATACTATGAAACCCTTTGTCTTCTGCACTATGTTTTTTTTTTCGAAGCCCCTTTCCGAGTGAAGGGGATGGGTACTTGGTTGGGGAGGTAGGGTGGGGTATGGTAAACAATAAAATTGCATTTTTTTTCAAAGTGTAATAACCTTTTTATTTGTATTTTAATTATTATAAAAAATATATCAAAATTCATAACTTTTTGTGATATTAAAAAAATTAAAATTTCAATTGTAGGAAGTTTTCAGAACTAATTTTTTTCTGAAATAGATCCAAATTCTAAAATTAAGATCTCGTTGTTTACATAATTGAAACATGTAAGAAAAATATTTTAACATTGAGATCTTAATTTTAGCATGTCAATCTATTTTTTTTTAAATTGATCTCAAACGTCAATGTTTTTTACTTTATACTTCGTATATCCATTATTAGTGTCATAAGAAATATCATAAAATGTTATGAATTTTGATATACTTTTTATCAGTATTGATGTATAAATAAAAGAGTCACAACACTTTACAAAAATAATTTTATTTTTCACCTAACCCCCACCCTACCTCCTACACCCATCTCCCACATTTGGAATCAGAGAATCCTAAATTTTTCAAGAAGAAAGAAAAAAAATACTCGGAATTACCCATTCGGAATGAGTACTTTCCCTTTATTCCGGAAACCCTAAATAAACTCCCGTTATTTTGCATTACACGTTAGCATTATTTTTGAAAAAAGATTCCATAAGAAAACACCCAAGTATATGCACAATTAGATACACATGTTATTAAAAATACTTGATGAGTATTTTTAATGGTTTACAAAATGTTACTTAGTCACATGTTAACCCCACTCCCATCTCATCGCCACGCGACCATGTCAATGCCACATCATCAAAAAATCATCACACATCGCGCAAATTATAAGAACATCTAGGTGTATTGGTACATCCGGTATTTTTGTATATATACCAACTTTAAGCCTTCCAATCAATGTTTGCCTCCATAATCTCTGAATTGCGATCATCTTCCTCATCAGTCATCCGCATAGAATCGTCGGAGCTGGTAGGAGGAGAATGTGAAGCGGCGGACTCTGCAGCTGCTCTGGATAACTCGACTCCTCTGCTACGCCACACATCCGAGCTCCAAAAATGTCTCTTCTTCTGTTGCTAAAAACATCCTCCGCAATTGTAGCGTTTTTCAGAGCTTGCAACTTTCTCATTTTCACCTTTTAACTCACATCTTTAATGATTCAATTAATTGAATGTTCAGGTTTATATATGTAACACTTGAGATTTAATATAAATGGATTAATAGTACTACTCATACCAACAAGATGCATCTCCTTTTAAGGGAGCTCATCTGTCAAGAACTCCAAAATTAAGCATGCTTGCATGGGAGTAGTCTTGGGATGAGTGACCACCTGGGAAGTTTTTCAGGGCGCGCACGAGTGAGGACAAAGTGCGCGGAAAAGGCTAGTGGCGGTTTGTGAGGACAGTACTCGAGGTCTGAAGTAACTACCTCGGGACCTACGGGCCCAGGGTGTTACAGGTGGTATCAGAGCAACCCTGCGACAGTGTGCTGATCCATTGGATATCGGACAGACACTTAGCAGGGGAAAAGATTTTAGGATTTGATTGAGATTTGAGATTGGTTTATGGGCGCAACGAGGACGTTGCGATCCTAAGTGAGGGTGATTGTAACACTTGAGATTTAATATAAATGGATTAATAGTACTACTCATACCAACAAGATGCTTCTCCTTTTAAGGGAGCTCATCTGCCAAGAACTCCAAAGTTAAGCGTGCTTGCATGTGAGTAGTCTTGGGATGGGTGACCCCCTGGGAAGTTTCTCAGGGCACGCACGAGTGAGGACAAAGTGCGTGGAAAAGGCTAGTGGCGGTTTGTGAGGACAGTACTAGAGGTCCCGAGTAACTACCTCGGGACCTACGGGTCCGGGGTGTTACAATATATTTATACCGAGCACTTTTAGAAATGAGTTTTATTTTAAACTCAAATGAGTTAAACGCCTAAAAAAATGAACAAACATAAATGAGCTTTTGAACTTTTGAATACCCATTTTGTAAGTTATGTATGTCCATTTAGTACCTTTGTTATGCTTATTTAAAAATGTTATATCAATGCATATTTCAAAAGTCTCATATTACATTAGATTCATATAGAAGTTTGGTCCTCCTACTCCATGTATATTTCTTTGTTTAATAAATAGGTGGGGTTTTACCTGGCCCTCACCCCAAAACTCTAAAAAAAAATAGACATGAGACCACAAATCATGATACTCAATCGCACGATTCTAACACTCAATAGCAAAGGTTAGATGCTCACTGAAAATGTCTCGATGCTCAACTAACAAAACTTACAATTGTCACATCGAAGCCACAAATGGTTAAATTTAGGATATTCTTTCTTTATGTGAGTTTTTCTACTCGAACTCTCAACTTCGCTCCTATAGCAACTTTCACCTTCAATAACAGAGACATTTCGTATTTAATATTGCGATTTGGGAAAGTATTTTACTGTTAATAACTAATTGGTTCTGGTATAGCTCATGTAAGAATTTATTATAACTATAGGATATTCCTTTTTCATGACTTACTGCATTTAGTCGAGTGATCCACAAACGACGAAAATCTCTCTTTTGTATATCCCTACCCCGAGCAGCTAACACATCCAACAATAAATTGAATGATCAAATTACTCCGAATTATAGAGCTACGACACAATCAAACCCAAACGAACAAAACGTTGAAAGAAAAAATAACAAAAAGAAATATTGTAATGGAACATTTTGAAATTCAAATCCAAACTAACAAATCTTATGATTTTCATATCAATGAACATTTTGTAAGTTACATATGCTTATTTGGTACTGATGTTATGCTCATTTAAATGTCAATAATGTCATATCATTGCATATTTCAAAAGTATCATATTACATTAAATTCGCATTTTGACATTCATAAGAGTGTATTATAGATATAATTTAGTCAAGCATTCCAGCCCAGCTGGTTGTGAGGTTATCGTGCCTAGTGGGAGGTCTCGAGTTCAAAACCTGCTAGGCACATAAGGGTTCGAAACTCCATGGAGTGAGTTCCAGCATAGATTACTCTAGGCCCCCAGCCCCTCTCCCCAGACCCCCCCTGGAGTAAAAAAAAAACAAAACAAAATGTTTTTATAAAAGAAAAAATAAGAAAAAAACTAAATTAGAAGATATGAAGCAGAGACCGTGATGCTCATTGTTAGCCTCCTAATACTCAATAAAATAGGTCAAATGCTCACTAAAAAGTACACTAATGCTCATTTAGCGAAAGCTGTGATTTTTCACTTAAATTACAAAAATGCCGCCGATTTTTTTTGGACTGTATTAGTTAATGGATTGTCTTAGTTGAGATGGATGTACGTACACCCAGATCACCCAGATGTAGGATATAGGACTTCACACATCGTCCCCATGTCACTACCACATTATCTAGATATTTTTATTTTTATTTATTTCACACATTATTTTTTAGGTTATTCCTGGAATATTATAAAAATAAAATTATGGACGAAAATGTTAATAAAATTACTAGGAAAAACTGTGCTTTATAATCAGATCACTATGACGCATAAATTGAACATATAATACTAATTAAAAAAGTTATTAAATCACACTTTTATTTTATATCCTTTAATAGATGCTTGGTGTACATTTTGTGTGTGTATACTTTTGGCACACTTGTCTATCTACACAAACAAGTGCTATATTTCATTATGAATTGTCTTTATACACTAAAAAGTGTGCCAAAAGTGCACACAAAGAGTGTACATCAAGCTCGGCTTTTTCAATTTTTCTTTTCCGTGCGTCGCAAAATAATCTTCACTTTCTTTTTTTGGCAACCAATTTGTGGTTCACAGTTATTCTTACACATTTCTTAATTTTCGTGCCAAATGTACTTTTTAATGGCGTGCCAAATGTAATTTGAAAAATAATTTAGGAACAGAGGGAGCATTTAACATTTTTTCTTTTTATAATCTTGTGAAAATTAAGTTGTAATTGAAAAATTAATTAGTTGATAGAAAAGTGACCTTTCATACTATAGTTACTACAATAGAAACTTTAGTTGTGAGGAAGTGGACCAACTCAATTTCGCCGACTCATTCTTCCTTGTGGGAGGTCTTGAGTTCGAAATTTCATAAAGGCAGTTGTAGCCATGTTCACTCCAACCCTCGACCCCCTGACTAAAAAATACTAGTAGTAATTTTAGTGATCATGATTATTTTTAGTATTACATTATAATGACCATGATGATTCCACACTTATAGTTACTTTAGTTACATTTTCGTTCATATGTTTCATTTCAGTAATATTTAAGGAAAAACTTATTACGGAGTATTAGAAAAACTAAGAGTGTCAAGTACCTTGTGATTTGATGGCATTTTCTTCTGAAGTGAAGGTCACATGTTTGAGTCTCATTCAAATCAAAGGTGTTGATATTATCTTGAGCGGATATTTTTTTTAGAATGATGTACTATCTCTGTCCCTGAATTATCTTCCCAAATTTCTTCGTCCATCCAAAAATGATCTCCTGTTTCCCTTTTAACCAAGAATTTGTGGTTCATAACATTACATATTTCTCTCCCTTCTCCACAAATCTCCATCACACAATTCCCATTTTCTTAATTTGTGTGCAAAAATGTACTTTGAAAGATAATTTAGAGACGGAGGGAGTACAAAAAACAGAGTAGTAAACTCTTTAGGAAAAGTAATCCATAAATCACAACGTGAGGAAATGTAGACAAGTGTTCACGTGTAGAGAAAATTCCTTAAATAGAGTAAAATATAGACAAGTGTACAAATGGTACCATTTTTTTCTAAACAAGACTTATTCACTCCTAATTTGAAAAGTTATGTGTTTTCATAAATTTGAAATCGCTTAAATAGGAATAAATTGTAAAACATACTTCGTATGTAATGTTCAAAATTAGGACTAAGTATATTTTCTACCCTAAGTAGAAAATAAGGAAAACTGTCCTAAGTAGAAGTAAACGAGCTTAATTTGGAACTCCAATTTAGAATTGTTGGGTTTTTCTTCCAAAAATAGGAGTCGTTACTGACGTGATGGACAAATAGTACTCCGTACCATTAATGGCGAGAAATACTGTCATGTTAATGTCTAGTAATCCAACTATTTTGACAATAATGACTCCAAAATGTCAGTATATACTATAATGTTACTTCTATTTCTAGAAGAAAAACATATAACAGTCCTATTTTCGAATTTCAAAATTTGTTTACTCTTATTTCGGGAGCTTCCCAAGAAAATAATGCAAATCTTTTTTGAGAAATTAAAACTTGCAATGTTTTTGAAACAAAATCGCTTATATTGACATCATTAGTAGCGCCTCTCATCCATTCCAATAACTAATTTAAAAGACAACACATAATCTATGTTTAACAAAAGAAGATGATTGAATAAGACTAGATTATAAGTTAGTACCTTGTACGTTGGTGTGATTATGATTATCATCATCAGGTTACATTTTGTATTTTTTATGGTGTGCTTGTAACAGGTTGCATATATACATATTCCACGGGAAGCAAACAACATTTGTATGTGAACAATGCAGACATGGTGAAAGAGATGAACCAAATCAATAGCTCGGCATTAGGGAAGCCTTCTTATGTCACCAAGAGACTCTCTCCTCTGCTTGGGAATGGCCTGCTGAGGTCAAATGGCCATTTATGGTTACTTCAGAGAAAAATTATTGCACCAGAATTCTTCATGGACAAAGTCAAGGTATTTCAAAAGAAAACCCATACACGTTTTTTACCGGAGATTTGCAATTTTAGTCCCGTAACTTTCGACGTTCTTTTGAGTTTTTCAAACTTTTACTTCTCATTAGGAGTAACTTGATTTGTCACCAGAGTAACTTTTAAATAACTACGCTTGATTTCACATGGACCTATCCACATAAGTTTTAAGTTTCTATGATGTATCATTACCATTCTTATGTTTTTGCTTTTTTGCTTTTATTCTCTTATACTAGTATCATTCTCAAATGGTTTTGAGTGAATTGCAGCATCGAGTGTACTTGATGTTGGAATCGGCAGAAGAGATGGTTAGGAAATGGGATAACATTGTTGATGCTCAAGGAGGAGTAATTGCAGAGATTGTAGTGGACGAGGATATGAGGAACCTTTCAGGAGATGTAATTTCCAAGGCTTGCTTTGGAAGATCTTATCACCAAGGCAAACAGATTTTTTCAAAGCTTAGAACTTTGAAAAATATCATTTCATCACACAGTTACCTCTTTGGTTTCCCTACATTATTAGGGTATGTATGTTTTCATATAGTCATTCTTTCTTTCAAACATTTCCTATACTGATAAAATATGAACTAATAAACTACGTAGTAATAAACTACGATATAAAAGTATCGGTTACTCCTTGATCATAATTACAACAAAAAGATATGATACAGGGGTACTCCTCTTTACATTTTAGGATTGAACGTCGAGTCTTAATACATTCCTTTGAAAACTTTGTTTTTACCTTATTGCATAATAAATCATGCTAACAAAATTTTGTGAAAATTACAGAAAGAACAAAGGCATTGCCAGTTTGGAGTTGGAAATAGATTCCTTGATATGGAAAGCGGTGAAGGAAAGAGATTCATCTTCATTAGAGAAGGACCTTTTGCAATGCTTACTAGAAGCCGCCATTAATGATGAGAGTATGGACGAGGATTCATCAAGAAAGTTCATAGTTGATAATTGCAAGAACATATACTTTGCAGGGCACGAGGCCACCGCAGTGGCTGCATCTTGGTGCCTCATGCTTTTAGCTCTTCACCCGGATTGGCAATCTCTCATACGTCAAGAGATTGACCAGCTTTGCCAAAGCAATCCACTAGATGGAGACTCAATCTCAAAAATGAAGGTGGTGACAATGGTGATCCAAGAAGTTCTTCGTTTGTACCCACCAGGTGCATTTGTGTCCCGAGAAGCCCTACATGAAACAAAGATAGGGCACATTGTGGTGCCTAAAGGGGTGTGTTTGTGGTCATTGATCCCAACATTGCATCGGGACCCGAAGATATGGGGCCCCAATGCGAACAAGTTTAAACCGGACCGGTTCGCTAATGGGGTATCTAGTGCATGTAAAATGCCTCAAGTGTATCTACCTTTCGGGTTAGGTCCTCGTCTTTGTGTAGGGCGGAACTTTGCCATGTTTCAGCTCAAAGTTGTGATATGTGTTATCATCTCCAAGTTCTCATTTTCGCTTTCCCCAAAGTATAAACATTCCCCGGCCTTTAGAATGATTGTAGAGCCCGGGGAGGGAGTTCATATTCTCATTGAGAGGTTGAAGGAGGGTTGAAATTCTTTGCACTTAGTTTGCCAAAGATGAGATGTATCCGATAAAATAAAGTTGGGGTGATTGAGTCCTAGTTCAGGGGTACTTTTTATTAGATTTTATGTATCTTATAATAATTTAATTATGATGAAGCGGTCCAGCTCACTGAGTGCCGACTCACTGTCCCATATGGGGGTCCCATTTTCCAATCTCCCCCAACCTCCTCCTAAGAGTACAAAAGAATAATAATCTTATTTTAAGAATCTCTTAATGCATGAGGCTTATGTTGATGTTTTGTGGTTTGAAGTAATACAATAATTATCATATTTCATATACGAAAATGCTATTTGTACACGGCAATGTGTACACTCCATTTTACATGCCGGTCGAATTGTCTGTCGAAATGTTATTTGTACACGACAAAGTGTACTCGTCATTTTACACGTCGGCACCGGCGTTTTGTGAATGGAACCATTTTCGCACATATAAAAATATTGTATGTGCGAAAACCAATTTTCTTCACAAAATGTCGGCCAAATTGTCTGTAGGTAGACATTTTGACCGGCGTATAAAATGTGGTGTTCAATGGTGTGTACACGAAGCATTTGTTTTTTAAAACAAACCATCAGATATATTAATCAGAAATGTCCTTCATAAGAAGGTCGCAAATACAAGTAGGTGGTATATCAAACCAAAGACAATAAATAGCTTGCTTAGCCAAAGCATCAGCAACTCTATTCGTTGATCGCATCACATACTGGACAGAAATGTCAGCAGCTAATGCTATCAAGTGTCTAATATCATCAACTAACAATGCTTCATAGGAGCTTGCTCCCGATCCATGTACTCCCTGGACTGCAAGCAAAGCATCTCACTCAACAATCACGTGGCTCCACGCTTGCTGCATAGCCCACTCCACAGCTTCTCCAATACCGAGGTACTTGGTAGTCGTTGCTTCCATGCTTCCAACTAAACTCTTCCTTATCCCCGCATTAAAATGCCCCTCATCATCTCTAGCAACTAAACCAATACCCCTCCTCTTACCATTTTGGTCCACGGCTCCATCCACATTTATTCTGATATATCCTCTCTCCGACTTGCTCGACTGTTTATGATCTCTCATTTTGGCCGACCTGATCTGTTTATTATGAACTTCCTTCCATCCATTCAGTACCGACGTGCCTACACTCTTAGCCCCCTTCCTTTCCCCTTTTTTCCTCTTTGCACACTTTGTCATTCAGTATCTTCCACAAATTCCAGCACATCATCACGAACACTCCGACCTCCTCTTTCGTCATTCCCTGTAGTGTGTTTCCAGTCCATCCCGCCACCGCAGTACCGCCTCCCGCTCCTGCCCTCCTGTTCCTCCATAGATATCGAGCTACGGATCGGAGCAGTCCCGAAGGACGTGGATGGTCGTCTCCGATCCTAATTCTTTTCGCACAGCGGACAAATAGAATTCACCGGGACACGTCTTTGCCCTAGTTTATCTCTTGTTGTTAGCCTGTCCGTACATGCTTGCCAAAAAACCTTCACCTTTGGGGGAATGTCAAGACCCCATACACCAGCCCAAGACGGACGCCCCATGTCTCTCTTCGTAAGCATTCGTAAGTTACTTCAGACAGTGTACTCCACTTTTCGATCATAAATCCATATCCACTCATCCTATCTCTCTTGTCTGCCAATTGGTATAGTCAAGATAGCTTTCTTGTCTTCCTCCTGGAAAATACAGAAATAATATCCACATCCCAATTTCTCCCATTTGAAGTCAAAAGAGAGCTTACAATTATGCCTTTAAGTCCTTGTGCCTTCAAGTCCTTGTGGAATACTAGAGGTTGGCCGATTACGCTCCACTGTTGGTAGCCACGGGTCCTCCCAAGCCCGAACACTTCGGCCGCGCCTAATGCGATAACATGCTCCCTCCCGGACCACCAGAATTGCCTCTGAGATACTTTTCCAAATCAAAGAGGGATTATTTCCCGTTCCGGCCTCTAAAACAAACTGATTAGGAAAATAACGAGCCTTCAATTGTGACACCGCACCCGGATGTACTTGAATTCAAAACTTGATATGTATTTGAATTTTCCTAGCGAATAAAATCGTGTGACAGACTGGTATATTTAATTAATGCGCGATTAATTAAATTATTTATCGGGTCCATTATATGAGAATGTGTTACCAAGTATTTAGTTGGGTCATCGCGATGATTATTGAAGCCCAATAAAGTGCCAACCAAAGTTGATAAAAATATTTGGACAACCCCGAGTGCTATTTTGACCCAACCGGCCAGAAATAACAATAATAATTGGGAGGAACTTCCTGCACCCACTTGGGGATTTTCCTACATGTGTTGTACACTCCAAATAATGAGAACGAGACAACTAAGCATGGCTTGTGCGGACTATTGAGTGATAGGAGGGCTCAAGACAATCAACCACTCCCTTGACCATACTCTTGCATTATTTTTGGTCTTGAGTGAGGATAGATACCTCCCCCCCCCCCCCCTTCATTATACACCATACGCACAAGTCAAGGGAGAGAGTAGCTCTAGAAGAAAGCTCTCCCAAGGTCTGAACGTGGAAGGAGCAAAGAGCAAGGAAATCCCAAGAGAAAACTAACTAGAAGAAAGGTAAGAACTCAAATAGTTCTTTAACTAGTATTATTTTTTGTATGATTTTTAAGAAATCATACATCGGATTAAACATGAAGTTCTACACGTTTAAAAGTGTAGAATAATGATATAAAGCGGTGGTATTTAACTTAGAAGAGTTGGTGAATCGATAGGAGTCGAAATCGCCGGAAACCGCCAAAGAATAGGAGGCTGTTCGTAGCCGCAGACCACGAAAGCCGCCCACCTTTTGCAAAAGCCGCCCGGCTTTCGTCTGCTGTCCAGATTTTTCATCTCCAATCGGTTTAGAACTGGGATTGATCGGAGGGCTTAACAAAGACAACTATTTCAGCACTTCATAAGGTGAGGATGGCTGAGTATATTGCTTATAATTAGTGAGTTAATTTCATAAGATTACCTAAGGTAATTAAATATGTTTTTAAGGATTATTAATGATTAATAATGCCTAAGAATGAGAAGACTATTGTCTATAAGGAAAAGGAGCATAATATACAAATTTAAGAATAAATTGTGTATGATTATATGTTATGAGCATGTTGGCTTGATAAAGGAATTAATTATAAACTTCATGTTGAAATATAATTTTTACTTCATATGAGAGTATATGAGTGATTAAAAGTTATATTTTGTATAATGATGTGAACTATATTTTCAATGGAAAATTAGTTTGAAATTTATCTATATGACTATGAATTGAAAAGTTGTTTTGTTGGAAATTATCCGACTAGTATTAAAATACTAGTCGGGGTATTGGGAATGAGAATATGTTAGAGATGATCCAAAGGTTGGATTGTGAAATGTGGAACATTAAGTAGTCTTAAGAGATACTAAGGTGGATAAGTATGAACTTTAAGTGATACTAGGGGTAGGCCTAGCCTTAAGGGATACCCAAGATGAAGTGAATAATAAATTGATCCTAGTTGTAGGATTGGCCTACGGGTGTATTTCGGTAGTCTTTAAGGATAGCCGGTTGAATATTGGTAAATAGTAAGAACCATGGCCCTTCCCGACTCTAGAGAGCGGGGTTGGATAGCTTGGACTTACATCGTGATCACGGGTTAGGGTGGAATCCGAACCGGAGACCTTACGAGGCTCCCGACAGCGGTAACACTTAAGATAGGACCCCGAATGGACCTGACCTTCCTACGGGATGATGGGTATGAGTCCAGGGGCGGGACGTTGGACTCCGGCCCGAGGGCCCGATGAGGCATCGGATAGCGGTGACAAGTCTCGTAAAGGATGATAAGACCTACGGGCGGTGTCGTGTTAACGACGGGTATAATGAAATATGAAAAGGGGCTACGTGCCGACAAATTAATTAATTAACTTATTATGAAGATAATAAGGTTTAAAGAAGAACTATCATTATGTTATCATATCACTCTATTTGAGGGTCTTAGAAATTGAAACATTGATTATACTTAGTATAGTTGTCATTGTACTTGTCAAATGCTTTCAAGTACTGACCTCCCCTTCACGGGGGAGGCCACCTCACAGTTTCAGGTAGAAGTTGAGCTTGCTACCAGTGTCCATTGCTTCGGGAGAATCAAGGAGGGAAGACGTGGTTCGTGCTTCCTCCGCTTCTATTTTAAAAACATTTAAATTAATGCTCATGGATATTATTTTTGAATAATTATGTGGGGGCTTTAAATTAATATTTTACATTATGTTTGTTTATGGATGTACTATGTGTGAATGGTATTCAAGACGCCTAGTATAGTATGGATGAGTTGGACTGCGGTTGACTATTCGTACTGTACGACGGGTTGTTGACGTGTCCGGCAAGTGCGGGGCGTGACATCAATAATCTGCTTACAAGAGCTCGAGGTTGTTTTAAAATTTTTCAAAACTGCTTCCCCAGCCTTGCTAAATTAAATTTCCTCAATTTTCTATAACCCATCCCCCATACTCTTCGGGACACACAGATCATCCCAATTTTTCCATTTAATACCACCCCCTTGCTAACCCTTCTTTGCCACATTATTGCATCATATAAACTAGAAAGTAGTAACCCAACATGTCAACATACAAGCTAGAGCATGTGAGGTTCCCGTCACTCAAATTCGAGAAACACATTGCATTTATATGTAAAAAATAATCTCCATTTATTTATGTCAGTCCCGATGGCTCAAATAGATGAAAGTCTGACATTGCCGCTGTGGAGAATTGAACGTGAGACCTTACTCCAACCACCTTACTTAGTTTAGTTATCGTGGAGCTATTCGTATGATTCATTATCTTCATTTCTCGTTGATATAAGGATAAACGCGTTTCTTGCATACGGCAGGTACGAGAAGTGGAGAAACCAACGAGTTGATATCACAGTCGCTTTGGTCATGAGAGATGGAGGGACTACTTTAATGGAAAATCTCCTCATATTTTTCTCACACAAATTATTGCGTTACAATTAACTTTGGAAAATACATCTCTCAAGACGCAATGCATATACCCTGAAGCCTTTTATTGCGTCACACCAAGACTGGAACCGCAAAAGCAATCTTAAAATTCAATTCGGGAATTAAACTCCTCTTTTAAATGCAAATTTAGAAAATGAGAAATGTGTGACCTAAAATAATATAGAAGAGAGAAAAAGTGAAGATAAATATTGTTAACCATAAGTTCTTTACCAAAAAGGAGAAAACAGAGTTTATACTAGGACGCATG